CTGTCTCTTATACACATCTAGATGTGTATAAGAGACAGTATATATATAGTAAATATATATATATATATAAACCAATACAGATGAAAATTAATCTGTATATTATTCTGTAAATAATAGGCCTAACAATAATAATTTTATATAATTGTAATAATAATGATAATTGTAATAATAATAAATTTCAATGTGTGTTTGCGTCGGGCAGAGCATCACTCCAATAACAATTTTATGATGACAGTTTAATTTTAGTGGTTTTGGGGTAAATTTTCCATTGTTTCTCTGTGTTTTACTGTGCAATACTTATTGCATTCTTTGCTATGTTAATATTTTTCTAATGTTAAACAATGTTTATTTGATCAAAACTATCGTCTATAGATAAAAATTGCTATTTTCCCCTCACCTAAAACCTAATCATTGACCCCCCCACTTCAACTTCGCACCCACCCACCATTAGCCACCTCCCCACCTCCAATTTCAAGACTCCCGGATACGCCACTCTGAAATTGAGCTATGATGCGGGGTATACTTCTTATGTCCCAGGCATACTCAAGTAGGCCTACTGTACACGCAATTAAGCTTCATTCATGCCATCAAATATTATTTACAAAAACACATTTGTTCTGAATTCGAACCTGACATAAATACCATTATCATGTAAGTAATCTGTGTATTGATTTAATTTATTGATAGACAAATGGGCATGTGGAGAAAGGTACGGTAAACATATAGGGCTTTATTATAGACAGACCGATTGGTCAATAATCATTCATCGATATAGACCTACTACAGTAACCAATTTATTGAAAAGTCATTTAAATATCACATTGTTGATGTTCGTGACCCAGCTTCAACGCCTCAAGGCCTGGCTAAGAGACGGTCTAATATGGTAATGACCGCTACTTAAAAGATCCTAAGCTATATACTGTCATTTTCCTCTCTTGTTTCTGTTTTTGTAAATGAGTAAATCCACCCTCGAAGTATAGGTTAAGTGTTCCCTATGGAGAGGGGATAATCCCGATCATCAGCATAATACTATGCGCAACGTCTTATTTTGCAATAAAGTGATTGTGTGAATCAACGCGTTTGTCTATAAGAAAAGAACCCAATTGAAAACTATTAATTGTATGGCAGCGACCACTTGCGCTGAAGTAGGCCCTTACTCTGAACTAACTCAGTAGGGCCACTTCACACCAGATAGTTAAACCATGGAGGTGTGTTCGAACACAATTTTAAAACAAAGAGGGAAAAAACGAGAAGTAGGGGTACATGTTCATCCGATCGATTTTTCTTGGAGGTGCTAACAAGAAATTGAGGGCTCAGAATGACAACTAGTTTGTGAGGTTTATGCTGAGACAATAGTTGTCCCAGGTTTATGTAAGATGTTATAGGCCAATATGTGGACCTAAAGCCTTGTACAGACTATCAAATTTTATTAGCAAAAAACATGTGACATGCCTAAATATGGTCATGATGACATCACACCATGACCATATATAGGCACATCATAACTATATATGGGCATACAACAGTTTTTTTTTTGTCAAATAAAATTGTTTACACGATCACAAACACAAAATATTACCGCCGAAAAAGATTCATATTTTCTGAACATTTATTTTTTAATTTTAGCCTATAGGTAATTTTAAAGATACTTCTACTTTCTAATTGATTTTTTAATCTAATTAAAACTTCGAATTGCTCTTATAAAAAAAATCAAAACAGTTTCTAACTTAGATACAAATTGAAACAATTAGTTTTGCTGTAAAAACGTATTGCTTCAAACTATTCCATCAATGCTGCAGCCAATTTAATGGTCTGTGCAAAAGAATAGGCCTAAGAACGGTCATTTATTAGTCTGGCAATTGGCAAAGTTAAACCTATTCTAATTTTTAAAGTTAATCACAGTACTTGATATACAAAGTTGGCCAAGCAATGTATTTTTAACTTTATTAGCGCAGGACAGGTAGTATATAAGCCTTTTTTTTCTGGAACACCATAGAACTTCATAATAATTACAATACGATACAATACAAAATGTTTTATTACAATATATGAAAGACCAAATTGAAGATTATTAATTAATTAATTATAGAAACGCTATTATATTATGTAGGCCGTACGTCTCAGTGACGAACAAATATTTTCTCGCTCAAATTTTCAGTTGAAATGTAATAACATAGGCTTACTAAGCACGAAGGAATTGAAATATTGTCACAATTTATCATTCAATGTTGCATATTATTTTTGTATAAATTACCGTATATGTTTAGGCCTATATATGATATTTAGACGAG